ATGTACATATGGTACACTGGCTCAAGATATAGAAGTATTCAATATATTTTCCACGAGGAATTATAATAAAAATTGCATATATACGTATAACTAAAATATTCGTGCAAAATAATTTGATATTAAAATACTATTATTTAAGTGTTTGCCTAATCTACCATTTAAATGACTCCACGTATCTACCGACTGGAAGTCTGGCCCCTAGTTAGAAAAAAAATAATTTTGATTAAATTCGCTATAACTAAAGAACGGTTTGACCGATTTTAATGTTCTATATCTCAAACGAAAGCTTGCGTCTGGCTGAATAATTATGTGTAAAGCATATTGAACACTTCCATATCTGAAGCTGCTAGTTTTCCATATGTATATGTAAATAGAATAATCATGCAAAATAATTTGATATTAAAATAGTATTATTTAAGTGTTTGCCTAACCTATCCTTTGATATGGACTCCCTCCGCTGATAGAATGAGAGTCATTCGGCTTGCGTATACTACATATCAATCCTATTATTCCATGTGGAAAATAACCATGATGCTTTGATCTCAATGAGAGTTAGTACTTTCATGGAGGCAATGTCGTTAGCAAGGCTTACAAATCCTCCGGCATGCCTATGAAGTGGGTATATTTGCATCATGGTTATTTTCCACGTATAATAATAGGATTGATATGTTGTATGTTCAAGCTGAATGACTCTCATTCTGTCAGCGGAAGACAGAAACACTTAAATAATACTATTTTAACATTAAATTTTTTTCCACGAATGTTCTATTTATATGTACATAATATATGGTACATTAGCTCAAGATATAGAAGAGAACCTACAACACATTTTTACGAAGAAATATCTCACCAACCCAAGTTCCACAGAAGTAGAGGTAAAAAACTGCCTTAAAATCTACACTGATGGTTCAAATAGACGGAAAGGAGCTAGAGCCGGAGTCTTCTCGTACGATCTCCGACTCCACGTATCTAAACCTCTAGGTAAAAGTACCACCGTCATACAGGCGGAGTTAATCGCCATACAACTTGCCGCTGACGTTATTGTCAGATCCAACTTGGTAGGTAAGACTTTCACAATTTACACTGACAGTAGACAAGCTATTTTAGCACTGAGTAGAATAACAATTACCTCAGGACTTGTTATGGGTTGTCATCTGACATTGGAGAAGGCCGCAGTGCATAACTGTGTTATACTTCAATGGACAAAAGGACACTCGACTTGTTCAGGTAACAAGCACGCTGATAGGCTTGCCAAAAGGGCTGCCAAGCGAGCGCCATGTTCGCCTGAACCGATAATCGCTCCGTCCTTATCAACTCAGATTGAGATAATTAACCCACAAAAAGTTATGAACTGGTGGGATAGGGTTAAGGGCTGCATCTGTCTAAGGAAGTACACTGTTGGAAATAATTCACGAGCACACCCTATATAATCTGAACGCGTGTGTCTAGCGCAATAAAATTTGGTATGGAAGTAGTATTAAAGTAGTGTAACTTACTCTCACATGGAGAGCGGCACAACTCTGCTGGGAAGAGAAACATCGATAGCGAGAGTATCCCCCGTGAGCTTCGCGTACCATCGCTACACGACGTGGCATGGAGTCTATAAGTCGCTGTATTGTAGCGAGAGAGATGGCCAACCATGCCACCTCAACTCGCCTCCATAGCTCCTCAACGTTAGCCAAGGAAGCCGAATAACGTAAAAGTCTCCGACCAGTCATTTCCCAAACATGTTCGATCGGATTCAGGTGCGGAAACCGAGCTAGCCATGGAAGCATTCTTATACGGTGCTTTTCCACAAAGGTCTGTACAACACGCCCGATGTGCTGTCGTACGTTGTCGTGCATGTATAGCAGACCTGGAAGCCGCCGAACATAGGGAAACACAACGGATCGTAGCACCTCATCTACGTATCGTTGACCCGTCATGGTCTGCTATACACGCAGCAGACGTGTACGTCCACCATACGTAATCGCACCCGATACCATAATGCTCGGTTGTCGGTGGATAGGGCGTTCTTGCATACACTGCTCGAGTAGACGATCATCACGGCTCCGACGAACTAAAATTCGTGCATCACCGGTGCTCAATTCGAATCTTGATTCGTCTGAAAACAAAATGTCCCTCTACTCGACAACCTACTAATGCCTAGCGTCAACCCACTCGTGACGTATGCTGCGGTGCTTGGGTGTTACTGGAATCCGCTGTATCACACGACGCGCGCGCAGTCCACTATCTACCAAACGCGGCCATACAGTTCGCGTAGTGAGTGCGCCTTCCCCTGCCGGTGGCCAAACAGCTCCAAGTTGCCTTGAGGAGGACACACACGACGCTAAAGCGCTGAGCACAAGAGCGCGATCCTCGTGTGCTGGGGACGCACAGGGCCGTCCCGGCCGCGGCTGAAGGTACCTATGTCCTACCTCAGACCATTCTCGCCATGCCCGTTGCACTGCCGATAACGACCACTCGAGACGACGCGCAATTTCACAGAACGATACACCCTCAATGTGCATACCCGCAAACATTCCTCAAACTCGCTTAAGTAACGCGATCGCCCATCCATTGCGCACAGAGTACGATAACAATGTGGTCCCTCACACCACAGTAAAAACGACCGGTATTTTCCATCCACTTCGGTCTCCATAGCGACGGAATGTTCCACTTGGAAGGGCGGCTCAGTTAACAATGCCGCGACGGAACAACTCGAAACTCCCTGAATAAACTCGTCTACACTAAACCTTTGTGCTCCGCAAATATTATGGATTTATCTTCACGCGTTCAGATTATATAGGGTGTGCTCGTGAATTATTTCCAACAGTGTATTACGTTATCCCTCAACAGAAGCAGCCTTGTCTTTCGTAAGGCTTGGTAGAAACACTCTACGAACTGTAACGGGGCTCGTCACGGGTCACTGTATGGTAGACAAGCATCTTTATAACCTTAACCTTGCTGTTAGTCCTCTCTGTAGCCTCTGTGAAGAGAGCGAGGAGACGGTTCGACACATCTTGTGTGACTGCCCCACTCTGTAAGACCTCAGAGTGAGATACTTCGGAGAGGAATGGCCGAGCACAAATGGCATCAAGAAGACACTTCTAAGCTGTATCCCAGAGAGAGTGCAGGAGGATGTACAAGGAGCCCGTTGGGGCCTAGGTGCTGTATGCGGCAGCATACCCTTCCCTTTCCTACATACATACATGTACTGAAAAACAAGGAAATACCGAGAAGTCTAAAACGAAAGCTGTTGATAGCTACATACTGCTAGTGACTACCTACGGACTTGAAATGATGGCCTTGACAAAAAAGTACAGAACAACTTAGTGTATCCCAAAGAGCGATGGAACGAGCAATGTTGGACTGACTGTAAGCGATAAGATTCGAACTAGCCACATTCGCAGAAAAACAGAAGTGATAAATGTTATGAGTTGAGTAGCAAGGCTTAAGTAGTAATGGGTCGGACATGTGGCAAGAGAAAACACCGAAAAAGGACACAAAGAATAACCTGTTGGAGACCNTTGTCATCTGACATTGGAGAAGGCCGCAGTGCATAACTGTGTTATACTTCAATGGACAAAAGGACACTCGACTTGTTCAGGTAACAAGCACGCTGATAGGCTTGCCAAAAGGGCTGCCAAGCGAGCGCCATGTTCGCCTGAACCGATAATCGCTCCGTCCTTATCAACTCAGATTGAGATAATTAACCCACAAAAAGATTATGAACTGGTGGGATAGGGTTGAGGGCTGCGATCTGTCTAAGGAAGTATTACGTTATCCCTCAGCAGAGGCAGCCTTGTCTTTCGTAAGGCTTGGTAGAAACGCTCTACGAACTGTAACGGGACTCGTCAGGGGTCACTGTAAGGTAAACAAGCATCTTTATAACCTTAAGCTTGCTGTTAGTCCTCTCTGCCGCCTCTGTGAAGAGAGCGAGGTTCGACACATCTTGTGTGACCGCCCCACTCTGCAAGACCTCAGAATGAGAGACTTCGGAGAGGAATGGCCGAGCACAGATGACATCAAGAACACACCTCTGAGCTGTATCCTAGCCTTCGCAAATTCCTTAGGCTGGTTGACGTAGCCGGAGAGAGTGCAGAAGGACGTACAAGGGTCCGTTGGGGACTAGGTGCTGTATGCGGAAGCATACCCTCCCCTTTCCTACATACAAGAAAAACAAGGAAATATCGAGAAGCCTCAAACGAAAGGTGTATGATAGCTACATACTGCTAGAGACTACATACGGACTTGAAATTATGGCCTTGACAAAAAAGTACAGATCAACTTAGTGTAACGCAAATAGCGATGGAACGAGTAATGTTGGGACTGACTGTAAGCGATAAGATTCGAACTAGCCACATTCGCAGAAAAACAGAAGTGATAAATGTTATGAGTTGAGTAGCAAGGCTTAAGTAGTAATGGGTCGGACATGTGGCAAGAGAAAACACCGAAAAAGGACACAAAGAATAACCTGTTGGAGACCACTAGTAACTAGAAGAGGTGCAGAAAGTCCGCAAATGAGGTGGATCGCCAAAGACAAAAATAAATGGAGACATTTGGAAGAGGCCCACGCCCAGCAATGGATGAATGCAAAAATGAACTTTATGATGTAGTTTAATCGTTACTACTGCACTTAAAAAGAAATCACTTTACAGATATCTGTATCGTTTCAACGTGTATTTTAAGTTGCCTATAAACAAGTATTAACATTTTCAAAAATAAAAATGTTTTGAAATAAATGTGTATTTAAGCTAAATTGTTGTTTAATTATGTCAGGTTGAGAAAAGTGTTATAACTAATTTTTTAAAAATTTGTTTAGTCTTACAAAATAAGATGTTATAAAAATAATCTGCTTATTTCTAAATAAAAACTATCAGCTATTTTTACATTAAATAAAAATCAAATTTTTAAAAATAACATTTTAATATAATTCTATAAAGATTTGAAGGCGTCAGAGGATTAGATATTGGCAGGAGACCTGGCGAATACGAAAACTGTGTGGTGATTTTAAATACTTCAACCGCGTAGAGTGAAGTATCAGTGCGCGCGAGCATTTTGTGTCGTTCAAATTATTGATTTCTCGAAGGGCGGCACTATCTTTCGGGGTCCTCGGACTCACCCTCCGACATGATAACGCGCTGATACGATTACACGAAACGAAAATTTTAATTCGAAAGAAGTAGTTATGAAAATCGATTTAATCTAAAAAAAAGTTTTTTGAAAAATAACTTTCACGTCGATTCAAATAATTCAAGATCTCGAATATAGATAATAACAAAAAGATGGGGACGATCGTTTTGAAATCATTATCTGTGCTGTTAGGATTATTTTTTGTGTTTGTTGGTTTATTAAAAATATCCAGTTTTTTGTCGAAAGATCTCCATAAAGATTTGGTAAGTACTTTTTTTGTGAAATTATTAATTATATGATGATGTTATAAGTTTAGCTAGATTATTTGGATTATTTGGCCGGTGATCATTTTACTTTCGTGTCTCCTGATGAGGTATTTTCGTATATTGGCTACATGCCTCATAGTCCCAGGCAAAATTACACTGTACTTGGAAAAATCGTTTGGGTTCTTTTTATAAAAAGAAATAATAAATTTTATTTTATCCCTGAATGACTAACGTTTAACGAATTCAAATTACCATGTAAATTTGATGTGGTACTCGTTCAAAGTGCCGCGTAAAAATAAATTGTAAACAGTTGTAAAAAAAATACCGATGGAGTTCTTTCAACTATTCTAGAATCATTCAGAAATATTAATAGTGTAAGTTTCTTTTTTTATTTTCAGAGGAAAGAATATGTAAAATATGCCAAGGTTTTTCCATTTGCTGAGATGATGAATATGAAAATTCCTAGTAAATGGTACAGAAGAACTGTTGGGGCTTCGGAAATAGTTTGCGGTTTAGCAATGGCTCTTATACCAAGTAGTAAGTGATAAATAGATTTCATTACAAAAATGTTTCTATCAATTCCCTCTAATATTAGCTAATCTAATTAGTATTTTCTTTTATATGCTTTTAAAATAGTCTATATTAGCATACATTAATACATATGTCGTTCTAAATTTGTATCCTTGAGTAATGTTTGACGGATGTGCTATTTTAAACGATCTAATTTATATATTTACGTTGGTTTACGTGAATTTGCGTTTTACACCATTAATAATAAATTATTAAGTTGGCTAAATTCAGAATTATGAAATATGTTATATTTTGCTGGAAATGGAGGTTAAAAAAGAATATTTGGTTTACTTAGTTTGGTATACTTTTAACTGTTAATCAATTAGAGTGCTTAAAATAGCTGTAATCCACAACTTCTCTTTTTGTAGGTTATAACAAGCTTTGACGATTCTAAGAATATTTCATTCTAAATACCACTTGTTATTTAATAAGCACTAAATTATAACTACAGCATATACAAGGTGGAATTAACTATGGAACCGGCTTAATTCTCCAAAAGTACTTGTCGGATCAACATGAAATTTGAAATGTGAATTTAACTAAACAAAATCGTTGTCAAACTTTTCATTCGAAGGCTTATTTAATAAGTGTAATTAGTTTTATCAAAACATTGTCTACTTAACGGTAAATAGGGAAGAATGGTAGAAATGAAAATCTATTAGAAATTAAAAAATTTATTTATTTATTTTTTAAAAAATGGTGCAAAGAAAAGTTGACCCTTTGTTAATACTTAACCAGTTTTATTTGAAAACTATTTTAATAGAAACAATAATTGGGAAGATAACACTGGATTCAATTTCTATATTGTTCACAGGGAAATTAAAAAATTGAAAGTTTTCAAAAATGTTTTGATAAATGTAATTACACTCTCGAATGCAGAATAAAATAAGCTTTCGAATGATGTCAATTTTGACTAAACCGACATTTAAAAGGTGTCTTGCTGTAGCAGAAGGTCGTCCTGATCCTCTCTTTCTAACAACCTTTGCGTCATCTCTGCCTTTTTCAATCAATTCCTCCGCCAAATCAATTAGAAATGGGAGTACAGATCCCTTCTTATGGGTGAACTTCATTGCATATTTTGCAAGCATTTATAATGGAAGTCATTGTGCTTGTAAAACACTTTACGCCACCATTTGCATGACCTAAGATCAAAATCGTATATAGTGGTAAGCTGATCCTACAGATCAAGTTCCCCCATAAATTTCTTGTAATCAGCAATAGCTTGAGGGCATCCTAAAGAAACTCTTTCGCTATTTTTAATTTTCGATTCACTGAAGAAAATTCGTTTTTATGACAATTGCTGAGGTCTAGGACTTCCTTTGTGTCTTGCCAAAAACAAGCTAATATTCCAGATCCAGTACCAATAATTTTGCTTTCTCCAAGGGGCCAACTTTTGTCTATGATTTGGCATATTTTTCCTATCACGCATCCCACAGCTGCAAATGGCAGATCATAAAGTAACCTTACTGAGGTAAAAAATCGGTCGAGGCAAACAAACGCATCTTCATCACCCGGTATAAATCCCAGTTTGTTCACTACCCGCTCTCCTAGTGTAGATGCTTGAGTACCCGAAGTATCCTTACCGGCATATATATCAAAGTTGTAGACGAATCCTGTTTTCGAATCAAAAAGTTGCCAAATTTTTATTCCCCGTTTCATGGGTAGTAGTGGCAAGTATTGTTTTAGTGATGATCGGGGCTTGAACTTCACCATGAATTCGTCTATACTCATATGCGAGCATAAACTTCGGGCTGATTGAAACCTTTGCTTCAAGCACTCGACAAACTCATCGACATAGTACGTCTTGGTGGGGTTTTCTGGCTTTTCGAGATTAGCGTAGTACATTTTAGAAAGTAGATATGTACAACAATTGCGGCTTATCGCATTTTTGATACAATTATTTTTCATGCTCTTCTTATCACTAGCATACACTCTTACTACCATGATCTCTGACGCATCCGTTGCAGCACAATGTCTCCGATTTTTCGCATTCTCAATGTTGATTCGTTTATTTGTATTTTCATCAATGTACAAGAATAAACTTTTCGAAAATACTTGCAAAAAGCAATCAAGTTTGCATGAACTCCTATTCAGTTTTGCTAATACAATTGAGTTCCTAACTTGAGGCATAGCTCTTCTGGGTTCAAAATTTGCGATTTTGTCTATATAATACCAGTATACCACACCATCGTTATTCTTGTTATTTGGTTGGGGCTCGTCATTCGAATCGGAAGTGAACCTTGATCTTCACCATGATCGTTGTTATTTTTTGGTCGTTTGGCTGGAATATCTTCTGCAGAAGGCTTACAATCTGAATACCTATCTACATCTTCTTCGGAAAGATTGTCGATTTCTTTTTCCAACTCTTTTTGGGTTTTAAACTAAAATTAGAACTAAAACTAGAACTAACACTAGAAACTTTCGGGTTTTGCCGAGCGTCTTTTAAAAAAGGTTTGACGTTTCGGATGCCATGTTGCAACCTTCTTCAGAAACTGGTTTAGTAGTTTCCAGTAGTCCAGAACCCAAATAACAGCCCTGGTTCTGGACTATTGGAAACTACTAAACCAGTTTCTGAAGAAGGTTGCAACATGGCATCCGAAATTGGCGCTGCATTTTGAAAAGTTTGACAAAAGATTTTGTTTATTCAAATTGACATTTCAAATTTTATGTTGATCTCTACTTAATGAACACCTTGTATAAGCAAATATATTATCAGGAAATAATACAGGCTGTTGTCAAGGTCTATTCGTGCAAACATGATATATCTGGAAAACCACAGAGTTTTTAATACATTTTTCACACAAGGGTGATATTTAACTACATCGGGAGAGTATTGAGGGAGGTTAGGACAGTTTAGGGAGATATTAGGAACTATGTTCAGATTAACCAGGATCGATTTTGATGACAAGTAGATATTCGAGGATATTAGGGACTAGAATGAAGGTTATTAGGAATGATATTGAGAGTTATCAAGGAGGATGTTGATAGATGATGAGGAACATGATTGGAAAGATGTTGAGAACTATCAGGGCAATATATTTAACGATCAAGAAAAATATTGATAAGGAGAATCTAACTGAGGCTTTCCAGCTCATTAAGAAGATTTAGGGATTATGAGGAAATAAGCCAGGCATTATTTTGATGCAATATGAGATATTCGAGGGATCTGGGACGATATTCGAGGTTATTAGGAACGATATTGATAGATATCAAGGACGCTGTTGATAGATGTGGAGAAAGATGTGAATTGCCAAGATATTGATGCTTATATGCTAAGAAAAGCCAAGTCATTGTTGAGAATAGGGATTATGTTCAAACATGTTTATGCCATGGACAATATTCGGATATTAAGAACGATTGAGGATATTAATGACGATGTAATAATGTTGAGGAATATCAAGGAGAAGATTGATGGTGGGAAAGATGTTGAGGAAGGCAGTGATGATGTTGAGAGATATTATAGCTAACATTACAGAAAAATTCGTATTCCACGTAGAGGCTACTGAAATAAATTCAGAATGCGCTCTCCAAAGTGCTCTTCCAGGACTTCATATCTCTATTGCTGCGATAGAGTAACCACACCTTTTCGAAATCTTTGGTCACTTTCAATAATAGAGATCGTGGATTCTATATATATCACATCGAATAATGTAATCCGCGACGTAGCATTGCACACTATAAACTGTTTGAGGTGGAGAAAGACTTTGTGATCAAGAAATGCGGATTTTCAGTAAGTCTTTCTCGCCACCAGCATACATCTTGATGTAATTACATTAAACTGCAGTTTCTGATCTTAAAATATATACATTTGTATATGCAGTAACTCTTTTTGTTGGTTTACTACCAAATCTGTATTCATATTCATCACATGTCCCTTTTTATTACAAGAATCATCAACTGTTAAAAATATTTTGAAGTCCTTAACACATACAAAGCTTGGAGAACCTTATTGACCATTACAAGTTGATAAATTATAAATGCTTTTCTTTTCTGGACTTATTTAATAAAAGTGTTATAATATTGACTGGTGCTTGATATTGTTAGCTGCTACAGCAAGCTGCTGAGCATTAGATAATTCCAACGCTTTAATCTTATTGGTTTAAGCACTATTGTTTCGTCCTTGTCTGGAATAGTGTCGAACATTACGAAAATTTAACAAAATCATTTTAAAAATGGTAAAAAACTCTTGCAACTTTTGCTAGCAAGATCGTATACATATAGTATAATATTAAATATACGGTCTTATACCGTAGATATAATTAAAAACACTAAAATTAAAAGACAAAACATGCATCGGCCGGGAATCGAACCCGGATCGCCCGCGTGGCAGGCGAGCATTCTACCATTGAACCACCGATGCTGATGATTCATACCTTTCTAGGTACCTAGATCGCGCATAATGATGACCTAGTTAATAACAAAGAAGTTAAAAGAAAAATAGAATGCATCGGCCGGGAATCGAACCCGGATCGCCCGCGTGGCAGGCGAGCATTCTACCATTGAACCACCGATGCTGATGATTCATGCCTTTCTAGGTACCTAGATCGCGCATAATGATGACATAGTTAATAACAAAGAAGTTAAAAGAAAAATAGAATGCATCGGCCGGGAATCGAACCCGGATCGCCCGCGTGGCAGGCGAGCATTCTACCATTGAACCACCGATGCTGATGATTCAT